ACGCGGTCAGTTTTATTAACAAAAAATTCTATCTCGATGAATCTAAACCGTACCTTTGCAATTAAATGAAGAGATATTCATTTAAATTAATTCAAAGTAACTTTTTACATATGTAAAGTACTTAACAGACCCTTGCGAGAACGAGAGGGATTATTTTGTGACACTGGTCAAGTTCAATATTATTGACTAATTTGAAAAGATAAAAAAATTTAAAAATTACTTAATCATGACATATGTTATATGATCTTTTCAAACTATTTATGTGTATTATTAGATTATATATCAGTTTATAAATTAAAAAAATAATTTAAAAATGATAAATATAAATATTTTGAAATAATTTTTTAGTTTTTTTAATTTTCCTAAATTAGTCTGTTGAATATTATATTAAAGACCAAATGTAGTTTAGTGTGTGTGTATATACATACATATATATATATAGAGGTTCGATGATTACAAGATATTGTAAAGAACAAGTGAACCAACCATAGTTGTTAGATTTTGAGTACAGGTCGTAGGTCTTTAGGGCCTGTTTGAGTAATTGTCTAAAGAGGAAAAAAATTGCCAAACAAAGAGAAAGAAGCACAAACTACGATTTTGGATTTAAAATCGTGGTTTTAAAAGAAGTGAATCCATTATGCTTCTGTCTTAAATTAGAGAGTATAATTGTACCTATCAGAGTAGATATCAATGATAATATGATTTTAATATCTTTCAATTATTTTTTTATGAATATATTTAATCTTATATTTTATAAATATATACACACATTAATTATTTATTAATTACATTATCTTATATATTATTAATTATGTTGGTAAAAAATATTATTAATAATTTTATTCCTTCAAATTAAAATATATTATAAAATCTATCTTTTATATAATTATCCTATTAACTTATGCCTTTTTTAATAATTTGCACATATAAAAAGCACTTATAATAACAACTATCCAAACACTCTCACTTTATCAGAATCACTTTTTCACAAAATCTATTCTTCACAAAAGGGGTGTTTGGGAAGCCCAATAAACACTTTTCAAAAACAATTTTCTGCAAATCGAGGTAAACTCCTCTATATATTTACTTCGTATACTGTAAAAGTACTTCTGAAACTATGGTTTTGATCTTACCCAAACATCCCCAAAATCTATTCTCCCAAAAATATATTCTCAAGAAGTTATTCTCCGAATCATGATTTGATTTCTTCCAAACACTCCTTTAGTCTGATAATGTTAAGAAGATTTTCATCGCACAGTTTGATTCGTTATCTCCGTCATCCCAAATCACATATATGAGGTAATGAAAATCATAATTAAAATATATAAAAATATTTATAAATAGTTCTAAAAAGAATAAACTTTAAATAAAAAATATTAACCCGCATTTGTATATAAACCATACGTGACGGGCTACTATTTTTTGAAATTTAAAATGACATCATTCCATATTCAACAGGGAGAAGGGGGGAAAAAATAATATCAAAACCCTTAATCAGACTAGTCAGAAAGTAGTTCATAAATCTCATCAGCTAATCTCAACTGAGTTTTAACAAGAAATTTCAAAAAGGCATGGTTCCCTCTTCCACTTCATGCAGAGAAAAGATACAACATATATGTATGAACTCAGACAAAGCAAAGAAAATTCTCTGCAGAAATAGATTTGAAGCTCAGAAACCAACGTAGCTAGATTTATACACACACATAACAAAAGTGAAATTACATTACAGAATCGTCATTAATTATGGCACCCAACTGAGATCTGAGGTATTATCTGCAGAATCTATGAAGAACTTTGAGGCGACTTTTTAGCAGAAAGGCGAGCAAATGGGAAAATCATCCGAAGGCTATGCTTTGGCTTATCATTATTGTTGCTGCTGGAGATTTTCTGGGAATCTTCGTTGGGATTTCTCAGAACACAGACATCTCCATTGCATACGTATGAGCTTTTGGATCGTGAAGAAGAAGAAGATGATGATGAGGAAGAAGACGACTCAGAGAAACAGCCACACATGTTTGAAAGATACAAAGCCATTGATGGAAATGAGAGAGAGAGAGAGAAAAATGAGATAGGCATTTTCATTGTTTCACATTTATAATATTTCTAGAGGTTGTTGGTTGTTGGCGTGTGCTTTAGTCAATGTCGATAGGCTCATTTTTTCTTTTTTGGGAAATTTAGTGTTAAGAAATTGTTAGATTTTCGAAAATATATATGTCGCAGGAGAAAAATATGTCGAAAATTTTAGATTTTTATTAAATGAAGGCCACACACACGTCCTGGTGGGCTTTTTCTGAAATTTTTTTAATTCTTTGGTCAAACTTAAACGGTTTTAATCTTTTTATTTTGTTAATTAATATCAAGGAAACGTGTTAGACTGAGTTCCTTTGGCACCTTATGTATTTTTCTGGGCTAACTTGTTAAACTTGTTTTCTATTTTCAGTTTACAGAAGAAAACGTTCGTTTTTATGTAGTTATTATTTTTTTAAAAAATATGCTTCGTTTTGAAGTCATGTTGAATAAGAAGCATAAATTTTATTTTTGAATAATCCAATTCATGATTTTTCTTATATTAAGTATCCTTTTATTTTGTACTCCTTTTTGTGCACGGATTTTTTTTAGTGCATAGGAAAGAGAGTGAATTTTTTAAAGTCTAAACTATACAAGACTTTTATTACAGGTTTAAAATGCATCTAACAATTTAAAATATTTTTTCAAGTGTATCTAGCATCTTAAAATATTTTGTGGTGCGTTCAGTGCCCTGAAATATTTTTAAGTGCATCCAGTATTGTAAAGTATTTTTTGGTGTATCTAGCATCTCAAAGTATTTTTTTTAGGTGTGTATAGCACCAAAAAATATTTTTTGTTGCATCCAGCACCAAGGTAAAAAATTATTTTAGGATGCTGGGTGATCCTAAAAAATATTTCAGGGTACTAGATACATCTAAAAATACTTTAGAGTGCTGAATACACCTGAGAAAATATTTTGTGATGTTAGATACACCTTAACCTTTTATTATATTATAATTTGACAATGAGGCTTTCGCTTTAAAATTTCATGACTAAATTTTTTAACCATAAGTCAGCATATTACGTCATTGATAGAAATTATAACATACTAAGAAGATTTTTATTTTTTTGACAAACTTGTTTGGAAGTGGAATATCATTACATACATCTCCAATCCTAACCATTTGTGCCAATTTAGATTGATAATATAAATATTTTCATAAACGTGTCGTTGCTAACCAAATAAATACAACAAATTAGATAGTTAATTGCAAAAAAAAAAAAAGGACAGCTATTTATGCACAATTTAAGATTTAACATATAAGAAAGTTATTGCATGACTTAAAATTTTCAATATAAAAAGTAAAACATAAAATATATAGGCAGTGTCAAATTTAACCCAAAAAATTGTATTATTCCTTCTCAAATCTATTCAACTATATGATATTAACCGCAACCACGGCCTCGTTATTTTTCTTTCTTTCTTTGGTTATTTTTTTAATAGAAAAACTATAGATCTAGTCAACTTCAGACAAGCTTAACAGCATCACGATGAGGATGCACTGACGTAATGACTTCTAGATATATTATTATATTGCATTATTTTACATATAAAGTAAAATACACTTTCCATCTTTTTTTTCTTCTAGATTTTGATTTAATTTTGACAGCGTGTCGCAGAATTTCGATGGAGAAAAATATGCACAAAGACTTGTATGAGATATTTATTATTAGAAGCCATATGAATTAAAATTAATTGGAAGACCAAGCGTAGTTTGTTAATTGACTAATACTCACCATTATAAAAATAATAATGCTACCTCCCGTTCTAGTTATAATTAGGACATGAGGCAGTATATTTTTATATTCCTTTTAATATTTTCCTTTCCTTTTCTTCTCAATCAATCCCACCTTTTATTCATTTTCCTCTCAACATAAAAGTGCCACCATGTAAAATAAAAATATGATAATTCGTATAGAAAAATTAGGAAAAAAAAAGCATATCTTCCCTTGTTACTCTTATTATTTACTCTTTCGGTCTAGTATAAAAATTTTATATTTAGGACTTGAGGGATATTTTTCTTATTTCATGTGTTAGCTTAGTGTGTTTAACTTTATTTTATCAATAATAACTGATTCGATTAAGGACGTTTGATTCTTGTTGGGTAAGATGAAGAACTTAAACCTCTAAATTGAGCTTAATAAATAGAGATAAAGCTCGAAATTGGCATCGGTCACAAATGAAAATTATAAGTGAGAGTTATTTTTCATATTTTTATTAATAAAAATTAACAGTTTTTTAAAAACAATTTTAACATGAGCTTAGTAATAAAATAATTGAATAATTATTTAAAAATTGGTTTACATCAATCTGGTATATTTAATTTCACTGTTAGTTAGCTTGATTTGTTTTGAACTGTTTTGTCTAGATCTGAAATATTTTCAAAATGTGGGTATTTATACGTAATTTCGGCTGAATTGTTTGTAAATTTCAGAGAATGACCTGAATTAACTAACTTTAGAACTTTAGAATTCTAGAAATCAGTGTCTGCTTCAATCATCACGTCTGGCTGTTAGACTCAAAATCGTCTGGCAGCCCCATTGGCCATTGCCATGGCGATGAACACTTTCTCTTCTCTCTGATTTGGATTTTCCAAATCCGGCAATTTCTTCGTCGTCAACGCTGCGCCTCGTACCTTTTGCTGTAATCCCCCATTTGTATATTTCAGAGTGTGAGTGAATCAGACGAAGCACCAGCTCAATTCAAAGCGCGTGGGTCATTCACCACCGTTAATTTCGAGACGCAATCGGAAAACCTAACCCTAGAAATTTCATTCCTCCTTCCCCTCAATGTTTCCCCAGAAACCCTCAAATTCAGGATTTTCTAATCGGGTTGTTGTTTCGCGGCCCCCGCAGACACCCTCCACCGCCATCATCTTCACCTTCATCGTCATTTCTGCTTCTCACTCGTTCTTCAACGGTTGGTTGAGTGGAATGCCTCGGTAACCCATAATAAACAGATCTCTCAGTCGTTGTTGCTGTCGCTGGCCATTCTCTGTTCCTAATAATCGTCTGTCTCTGAGGCAATATACGAATCCGTATCATCCAATTCAGGATCGGTTTGATTCGATTTTTTCGGTGATTATTGCCTTGGAGGTCTGACATTGTTAGGAAACAGGAGATGGCGAACATGAATAATCTTAATGACGAGGAGAATAATGAACATGGGTTACCTTCGATTATCGGCGTTGGCGAAGGAGGTGGTGGTGGTGAGGGTGCCGGTGGGGCAGCGGCAGCAGCGGAGGAGGTTGTCCTCAAGAAGGGACCATGGACGGCGGCCGAGGATGCGGTGCTTATTGATTATGTGACGAAGCATGGCGAAGGGAATTGGAATGCGGTGCAGAGGAATACGGGGTTGGCTCGCTGTGGCAAGAGCTGTAGATTGAGATGGACGAACCATTTGCGTCCAAATCTGAAGAAAGGTGCCTTTTCTCCTGAGGAAGAGAAGCTCATTCTGGAGCTTCATGCTCAGTTCGGCAACAAATGGGCTCGAATGGCCACTCTTGTAAGTATTCTTGCAAGTTTGATGCTGCTTGGAAAGCTGAATCGCTTTGACAAATCCAACATATTTAGACAGATACTGAAATGAACAAAAGATATAATGTACGGATGTCGTTGTTTGACATGAGCATGGCGAATGTGAAAAATGGAATGCTAAAGATACGTAATTTATATCAATGAGAATTGAAATTCAAAATATATTAAAAAAAAAAATTAGCCTTCTTTCTGAAAGATCATAAATGGAAGTTACACTTGTTGAAAAGTTCCCTCTCATCTTTCTTAAAATCTATTTATTTCCTCAACTTATTAAAGAGATGTTTTTAATTTTTATTTCCTTTGGATGAAACAATTGTGTGAGTTCTCAAATACATGGTTACGACTTCAGGAAGTATGAGTGATAATTGTGAAAATATCTGGTAACTTCTTTGTATGGTTCTTGTGAGAAATTTTGATTTTTTCTCAGGATCCTCTAATTGTTATTAATATTTTTATCTAGGTGGCATGAACTGTCATTTTCCCTTTAGTATGTATAGCTTCATTTTTTTTTTCCAAACATGTTTTCCTTCTCCGGATGATTTTCTTTGATTGTCCATGGAATCTGAGTTTTATCTCTAAAGTTTCTTTCTTCTCTGCTGTGTAGTTACCTGGGCGAACAGACAATGAAATCAAGAACTACTGGAATACTAGGGTGAAGCGCCGGCAAAGACAAGGCTTGCCACTGTATTCCAGTGATTCTGATCAGCCAACCACATCTGCAGCACCGGCCACCTCAGGTACAAGACCGGTCACTGGATCCACTGCTGCAAAATTGGATTATTATAGTCAGAACCGCTATCCTCTGTCTTCATTCCATACAGGATCTTCTTATTCCACTCATGCCCCTTTCTTGGACCCCAATTCTCTTTCTTCTTCTTCCTCCTCCTTCCTTACCTTCCCTTCTCAACAGCCTACGTCTGCATTACACATCACTCCACTTCATTCAAAGCGTTGCCGTACCACTTTTTCCCTCCCAGATGCACCTTTGACCACCCCATTGGTGGATTTTGATGGACTCAACTTTCCAGCCCAATTTAATTCAAGTTCGTGTCAAATCTTCCAGACTCCATTGGAGTTATCATCTTCAGTTCCTGGGGTTCTAAGTCCATCTTCCATTTTGTCTACCAAAATGGAGCTCCCTTCAAACCAATTTTCCCCATCCAATAATGACCTGCTGGGGGATCTTCTTCTGGAAGCTCAAGTGTTGGTTTCTGGCCAGAATTCGAAGAAACGAACCTATTCAAGTTTCAGTGAAGGAAATGGTCTCTTAGATGGACATATTGGCTTGGACGATATGCCTCATAGCTCTGTTTACTGGCCTTCAGGTAACACATTCTATTGATTTGCTGATAATAACTTGTGCATATCTTAGATACAATTGGTTTGATTCCTCAATTGCTTTGCGGCATTAAAATTTTCTGGAAAACTAGTATGCTTGAAAACGTCGCAGGATTCACATAACAATGATGTATTATTGTTCTCTAGTTCTAATGTAGGAACTTGTTAGAAAGTTGATTTTGGTTCTAAATTTTATATCTTAACCCATTTTATCTCTTATATTTGTCATTTTTCCCAAATTGATTTGTCTAACTTATAAATTGATATATAATATAATGTTATATAAGGATGTTTTAGGAAGATCAGGTCGTATTTGTTAGAATGAAGTATTTATTTAGCTTCCCTAATCTACTCAAATGAATTAAGTAGCTATTACATTAAGGGGGAGTATTTTCTGTACCCGGCTAAATGATCAGGTCCTTGTTGCATCCGATTTATTCTCAAATACCATTCACCATGCAGACATTTTATTTGGTTGAGTGTGGATGGACATGCTTGAGTCTGATAATAACAGTATTGATTACACTTATATGGCATACGCAGGACTGAAACCAAGGTCAGAGCCATCAGACATGAATGAGCTTTCCACACTGATCTCTGGAATGCCTTCAACCATTCAGGCTTCTGAATGGCACAATGACATTGCTGCACAAACCTCCAATGTTCAATCTTCTGGTGATATTGTGGGTGATGATAATTTTGAGCTTGATTTCAAGCCTATTGCTTCGTTGATTCCTGTCAACAACACCACAACAAACCCTAATGAAAACCCTGGCTTCTTCTCATGGGACACCTTACCTGGACTCTGCTGATGGTTCACAGAGAAATGAATCTTTCTTTAGTTGTACCATGAAAAAATCTTGAAAGCTATGAATCCTAATGAGCTTTCATGCTTTCATGTTTGATCAATTCTATTGGGGTTATAAAATTCCACACCTTGCGCTTGTTTTACTTTTGTGTAAATAATAAATCAATAAAAAAAAAAGGTTAATAGACATGAAAGAATTAAGACCTAAGAGTAACACTTTCAGATTAAATAATTTGTAGACAGTAATTTATATCTCAACAATACTACTTTTTAGCCATTGTCATAAATTTAATAAAGCTTAAAAGTAAGTTAAATTGTTTTTTTACATAAAATGTCTTAGTTGAAAATAAATTCAAAAAATATTTTATATAGTAATCAGTAAGAGAAATATTATTTTGGTTGTCTTTTAATTTCATAAAAATAAATGTGCATTTTAAAACCAGAGAGCTTTATTTTTTTGGGATTAGAAAATTTGAGTATTAAATGAAATTCAGATAATGTGATTGATTGAAGTGTAAAATGACGTGGGCTTCATTTGCAAGGAAAACTTCATCATTATGATTGTATCAAAATATGAAAGGGATCATGGCTTAGTGATGTTAACGTACACATATATTTTGGTCAAAAAAAAAACGTACACATATATGGATAATTGAGGTTCCAAACATTCAAGTATGCTTTTCTATGGAATCGAAAGAATATTCTTAAATCAATTGATGGCTACTTGAATTTTACTTTCTGGTCTCACATCATGAATTTAATTTCTCAATTTTTTATTTTAGGAAAACTTGTACACAAACAGATATTGAATTTTATTTTGAGGGATTTTTACAATACCAATACCACCCTGATATATAAAATCTATAACAAATTATTCATTTATGTCTTTTGAATAATATAGTCCACACAACATACAATATATGTGAGAAAATGTGATCATTTCTTGTAATTATTCAACTTTGATAAAACTCATAATTAGAATGAAAATGCAAGGAACCCATGATAAGAGTATAAGACATGGCAGAACCTTATGCCTTTTGTATTTTATATGATAATTTGACCACTGAAATTCTTATGATGATAATTAATGCGAAAATTTTCATGTATTTCACCGAAAATTATTTGGATATTTTATTATTAAAATATTTACAACTTTCTGTCAGTTTTCTTAAAAATATTATTTTACGCTTTAGTCAAATTTTAAAAGTTCATTGATTAAAATACAAGTCATTCAAAACCTCTACTTTTTTGGGCCTGATTTAAAACTTCAAAAAAACAGATGAAGCATAATTTGGTTAAAAGTTTAAAATTGAACTGAAGTATATATTTGGGGCATAAAAGTGAAAGGACTATTCAGGCGGACTATTCTCTACGATTATATTTTATTCTATATAATTAAAGTATCCAAAATTATATATATTAAAATAAATAAAAATATAAGTGATAAGTTTTTATTGTGATAATAATTCTAAGATAACAATTAACAAGCAATTAACCTCTAGATGATAAGTATATGATCCTATTTATTAATTCGGTACACGAAGTACTTAATTTATAATATTGATACCATGCCATCCAAATCTACGTGTCCAGAATAGAAGTTAATGAATTATTTAGTAACTAAAGTAAAATTTGAAAAATAGGAATTTTTTTGGCCATAAAAAATATCCAACTAATTTCCTCAATCATTTCTAATTGTGAAATAGAAAATGAAATTTGAAACTGTGTACTTATTTAAAAGCATTGAGAACTATTTAAAAAAATGGGAATAACACTCGGAAAACAATTTCCAAGACAACTATAGAAATACCCTAATATACAGTATTATAGGGATCAAACAAATTAAAAGGAAAAAATATTAAGGAAAACAATATTAATACGATGCTGATGTCTTCCATTTTTATATAATATGATAATCTGAGTGGTTATAATCATTAATCCATTTGACAAACTCCAACACTGTTTTGTTTGACCAGAGGCCAATAAGTCGCACCCCTATTTCCAAGTTAAATTATAATAATAATGTGAAAATTATTACTATTCATAAGTAATGATCACTGTAATTTATTCCAAACTAATTTATTCCAAACTTTTGTTAATGTAATTAATTAGTATAAGAATTAGAATTTCAAGGAATCCTGCTATGCTGCAGCTTCTTGGAAGTTGTTATTATATATATATATTTGTTGGGGGAAATAAAAAATTGAAAGAGACTGCTTTTTTTTTTTTGAGCAAAATTGAAAGAGACTGCTAATTATTTTTTCCGCTCTCAGTTCCAATATACAATTGTAAATCAAGTTCTATTTTTCCATCTGATAATAGTATAAGACAATGAAGTTGGTCACATGTCTCTTTCATTTTCGCTCCATTTGAGGTTCAATAATTAAGGCACATCTTGTAGATTCTTAGTGGTATTATAGGCTAATGTTTCTGAGATAAGGGTATTTAACTGTGTCCTGTTATAGTATCCTGTTTATAAAAAAAAAAACAAATTTTATTTCATTATTTTTTATCTATTTTTTCATATAGTTTTTATCCTAACTTTTTATATTTTATGTATACTTAGTTTTCAAATTAAAATAATAAAAAATTAAAAAAAAAAAGAGATATCCCCATCGCATCTTAATTATGTCCCATCCCAATTGGGATGGGACGTTATTGGGGCGGCGTTCTGTCCCATAAATACTCCTGAATTGAGGCATGAAATATTTATGTTTTTTGAGTCATTATGTGTAATATTTATTATATTTTTGTTAAGATTAAATTATGCAAAATCTCACTCAACCTCACCTTTTTAATATTTGAAGTTTTACAATAAACTTTCTTGAACTTCTACGTTAATGCAAATAACTTCCATAGCATTAATTTTATTCATTATCTGTCTTCAAATGGCTTAAAATGTAAGAGTTTATTTGTACATAATTCAAATTTTGAAGGATTATATACATATAAGAATAAATTTAAAGGAGTATAAAATTGACAGTGTGAAATTATATGTATAAATTTCTGACAATTTCGGGAGTTAATTATTAAATTTCGAAGGTTAAGAAATTTATTTGTACCTGGTTTCCAACTCAAAATTTTTTTAATGTAATTTAGCCTTTTCTTAATTACATATTATATAACATAACAGTTATATAATTTAGACAAAAAATAAATATATATTCATTAGGGCACAAAAATACAGAAAAATAGTTTTCATTAAAAAGTATTTTATTGCCTTTTTAATTTTATTGTATTGTATTTTATTTGTGGACCCAGTGTGGCATTATAGCAGAATACCAATAATTTCCATTACTGTTGAATCACATAATTTACTGGCGACTCATCCAATCTCCGGATATTTTTTTCTGCTGATGGGCCCCACACACAGGGACACAAATTGGAATTAATTGGCAATACATACTTGTGTATGTCTTTGGAATTGGATCATTGTATTTTACTTGTTTTATATAGGCTTTGTTTCATACAGGCTTTTAACTCTATCAAACCAAACACTATTATAAATTGTACTACCTCCGGTCATTAATACTATCTTCAGTCTTTAATATAAGACTTTATTTGATTTTTACTTTAGTTTTAAATATAAAATCCCAATCTATTTTGTCCCTGATATTTATTCATTTTTTTTAAGATAGTTCTTTAATAATGATAATTCTAGATAACAAATTTGATTAGTAAGGATATTTTAAGAAAAACAAAACTTATTCATTACAAATAATTAACTTAACTAAGTTTTTTAATCTCTCCAAATTAGTCAACTGTGTCTTATAATTAGGACCGGAGGTAGTACTAAATTTGCATTAACTTAGGAGGCAAAAATGTTTAACACACATGCAATGATAAAGAAAAAATTAAAAATTTAAAGAATTATGACTTCTATCGATATTAGTTAAAATATTAATAAAAACATAACTTTTTATCTAATGTCTTTCAATCTAAACATTTCGATCCCACCCATGAAACCTTCCAATGAAAGATTATTGCGACACTTTTATCTCTCATAATTCAATCAATTAAGTTGTTCTAATTAACATATCAAAAGTGCTAAAAGGAAATAAAGACAAACATTATAACCAAAAGAAAAGGAAAGGGCACAAAAGCTGCAAATAAATTTGCAACCACAGAGACAATCTTTGTTTGACAAATATCAGTACCACAAATCATTTGATTGCTATTCACTAACACAGAGCCAAGAATACAAATCTCCATGAATAATTGCTAGAGCAAACACAGGAACTACAAATTAAACTAATTAAACTACAAACTATACAGCACACAATTTCTTCAGAGACCCTTTCCATTATTAATCAAAGTGATTCAAGAAAACCAGTCTTTGTGAGAACAGCATTCCTCACTTTGCTCAGATCTCTACCTTTAAGAGTTCTTCCAACTCCTTCAAACACAGAGAATGAAGAAATCTGAGTCCTTGCAAGCCTCCTTGCAATAAACTCATGTGGTGGTAACCTCTGATCATACTCATCATCATCCTCCCCATTATCATCATCTTCTTCCTCATCAAAGTTATTATTTCCACCATACTTTATGACTTGCTCATTAATGTCTCCTTCATCATCTTCTTCTGCATCAGCAAAATCATGATGAAGCCTTGAAACCCTCTTGTTCTGCTTCTTCTTGTTGTTAATATTATAGATCTTGGACCAGTCCGGGATGTTCACTGGTGCTGATTGCTGAACAACCTTGCCTTCAATGGCGGAATTATAAGTACTGGTGTGAATATTGCTGCTGCTGTTAGTTTTTGGGATCATTCTTGATGCAGAAGGGACAGGCCTAGGAACAGAAAGAGGAACAGGAGAAGAAGAAGAAGAAGAAGAAGAAAGAGACAGTTTGGTCTTGAAAATTCCAGAAATATGGTGGTTACTGTTATTGTTCTTCTTATTATACTGTGGTTTTTCATTCACAACATCCCAAACTTCTTCTTCTTCAAAATCTTCATCTCTCAAAGATCTCCATATCCCACTGTGCTGCCTCCCAAGCTCATTTTTCTGCTCCATTAATGCCTTCCTTCAAAACCCAGATAACAAAAACACACAAGAAAACCACAAATTCAATCAGAAATTGAGAGAAACGAAAGGGAAATTGAACTCAGAGATGGGTCAAAAAGAAAAAGGAAGAGAACCCCAATAATCTAACCTTCTTGTTTCGCAGATTCAGAAGCAGAAATTAGCAGAAACTGGTGGTGATTCTGGTTTGGATTTGATTTTCTGTGAAGAAGAAGAGGCAGAAAAAAAAAGGGCAACGATGACACAGACCTGAAGAACTTTGTGCTTACAGATCTCCTGAAGGGCTGCTCTCCATGTGTTTGTTTCCCTGAGAAAATGAAGAATGAAAATGCGCAGTAAAGTTGTCTTCTTCGTTTTACTGGCTCCATTTGACTTGGTATATAGTGAGGGATCTTCTCAGAAATGAGCCCCACGGAGTGATATTCTAATAATGACAAAGTAATAAATTCAATTAATGTGGGATTGCTTTTAATAAAATTTAATATTATTATATTTACATATTTATTGCAATAGAGCATGTGCATGTATCTAAGATTTGTAAACATGGGTTAAGAAATTCAATTTGGATCTTTTTCTTGGTTTTGCAAATAAATATGGAAATAAATGTAAATGAAATAAAAAAATATTTTCTTGTTAAATTTTTACAATAATATTTTCTAAGTAAAAAAAATTCATTCCTTCCATAATTATCTTTATATTAAATCAAAAATCGAATGAAAAGTGTTCTTTTCCTTTGTGATACGAATTAAAACCTTTATGAATATATAAAAGGTGTGATGAGAAAATAAATGTTTTAGATTATGAATTAACTGTCAATATTAATGCTCTAAACATTATAAATTTGTATTTACAATTATTATTAATTTCTGATCGAAAGATAGTTATTTTATTTTACTTCTCACGTAAGGTTATTGTCATCTTGATAAGCACAACAGTTTTCTTAAAAATTCGCATATACATATATGTATACAATATATTTAAGCTTTTTTTAAACCACTTTATAAGTAAATTAAAAAGTTTCTGTATCAAAACACAAAGTTACCTTTTTTTTTTTTTTAACCTTTTCGAATTTTAAAAGCACTTCTCTTCTTCACTATATCTCTTGGCTGAAGCCACTTGCACATATAATTATATAAATTTATATATTATAAAATATGATATTGGACGGCCAATAAATAAAGATTAGTTAGTGTCAAAGAAAGCAGACAAAGTGTCCAATTTTTCCAATAAATAATGCGAGTTTTGTGTATCTTATTATTAATTAATGCACACTCACGCTGACATCTTTTGCTTTATTTTTTGTGAAAAAATAATTAGATGTGGTAGGCATATGCTTTCCATAAAGCTCAACATAAATTGTATTATATTTATGATTTATAAATAATACAAATTTTTTTAGTAAATTTTACATTATAAATATTATTATTATAATATATAAAATGAGGACTATTTTGTTTGTGGTATTTTTTATTTATAAATTACTTAAAATTATCTGGCTTTGATTCATCCAGTGTGTGACACGAATTTTTGTTTTTTTCCTTCTCCCGACATTTCGTTTTCAATTTTTCTTTAGTTTGTTTATAGTTTTATATAGTAATCAATGAGCATGTCACGTGAAGGTAGACATCACTACTCAATAAAATAATAAATGGTTAATAACTAGAAAAAATGACAAATAAAGATTCCTGAATTACCAAAACTACACAGAGGTCACCTAAATAAACCAAATTACTATGAAGAACCTAGTTTCATATTACAAATATGAAATCTTTACGAAATGTCTGAAATGCCCATCAGCCAAGTTGTGATTTGATCTATTGAAATTGTTATTCGTTAAAGTAAACTTGTTATTTCTTATAGTCAACTTGTCATTTGGCATACTTTTAACCAAGTTGTGATTTGATTTATTGAAATTGTCATTCGCTAAAATGAATTTATCATTTCCTATAGTCAATTTGTCATTTGGTTGAGAAACGTTTCGAATATTTCACTAAGATTTCATATTTACATTATGAGATTGGGTCCCTCATGATAATTTTGCTTATTCAGGTGATCTCTGTGTAATTTTGGTAATTTGAGAGTCTTTGTTTGTGATTTTTCCTAATAACTAAGAAAAAAATTTAAAAGTTATAGAATGAACACGCACTTGCTGAGAAAGAAAGAAGGCAAAATTAGGGAGAAGATCTAAAACTGGATCATAAGAATTAAAATCAGGATGAATATTATATATAGTCTTTTATTATAATATCAGTAAGTAATGACTTTATTTTTAATTTCTTTCTAATAAATATTATTTTTCTAAGTCCTCTCATTCTAACTTTTTTCAAGGAAAAAGGTAATTACACTGAAAATTCTCTCTTCGCGGACAATTTTGACTGTCCAAGCAGACATATACTTATATATGGACCCCCTAAATAAAAAAAAAAGGTAACAAATGCGTGGATTGATTGATCACGTATTCAGATAATAAATAATTTAAAGTAAGATTGTTTTAACTTATACGGTAGTATATTTTGTCAATATTTAAGTATTTCAAAATAAATTCTTAAATGACACAAATCCAACTTTTTAATTGTAATTATATCTTAAAATATAACGTGAAGTAATAATATTTAATTATAAAATGACTATTGTGTTTAAAAGAAATTTAAAGTCAGATTATTCTCAAAAGTAAAGTTGTACCTCTTCTCCTTTAAAATTATAAATATTATTAAAAAAATGCTGCCATTGCCATTAAACATTTCATTGGAAAAAAATTAAATATTAACAAAATATTTTTAAATACTACTACCTCCGGTTCTAATTATAAGAGCTAGTTAACTAATTTGATGAGATTAATAAAATAAGTTAAATTAGTTATTTATAATAAATATGTGTTGTCTTACCTAAAATATCTTTGCTAATAAAATGTATCGGTTATAACTATCATTGTTAGAAGGATTACTTTGGAAAAAATGCATAAACACAAAAGAGAAAGTAGGTTGGGATCTTATATTTAGGATCAAAATAAAAATTAAACAAGGTTTTATACTACAGACTGGAAGTAATAGTATGTTAAGTTTAAATTTTAAAAGTAACAACGATCAGGGCAGAAAATACTTTTTTTTTTTACCTTACAGAAAATACTACTCCTCCGGTCCTTATTATAAGACCCAATTTGACTTTTTATTTGGTCCTAATTATAAGACCCAATCCATTTTCTCTCTTATATTTATGCATTTTTTTCCAAGATAATCCTTCTAATAATGATAGTTTTAGCCAATATACTTAATTAGCAAGGATATTTTAGGAATAACAACACTTATTTATTATAAATAACCAACTTAACTTACTTCCTTAATCTCCTCAAATAAGTTAATTGGGTCTTATAATTATGACCGGAGGAGTATTTGATACTTACCGAATCGGAATTTAAAAATTTAAAAATACTTTATAAAACTAAAAAAAAAAAACAAACAAATTGAACTACTACTATAACGTTAGAAGATTTTAATGGAGAACTTTTACCATTCTCAAATTTAATCTAAACATGCTAAATATTGTTCTTGATTACTACTACCTCCGGTCCTTAATATAAGATCCCGTTTGACTTTTAGTTTGGTCCTAATTATAAGACCCCAATCCATTTTGTCTCTCATATTTATGCATTTTTTCCTAAGATAATCCTTCTAATAATGATAGTTCTAACCAACACACTTAATGAGTAATGATATTTTAAGAATGACAACACTTATTTGTTACAAATAACTAACTTAACTTACTTCCTTAATCTCCTCAAATTAGTCAACTGGGTCTTATAATTAGGACCGGAGGTAGTGCTAATAACAAATTAATTTTAATTGTATTCATTACTATTGCGGCTTCCCTTCCCTATTATTGGGCAACCTCTTGTTTTAAATTGATGAAAATGACTTTGAACACACAAAAAAAAATTTTGATGAGAATGATGGAACACTGTTTTATGAAATTAATTCACGAATATTCAAGACTGTATTTATGGATCAAAATTAAAATAAGTTTAAAATATAATAAAAATCATTACTTAAATTTATACCAAATTTTTAATAATTTAAAATTATAAGAACTAAAATCAAAATTGGATACTGGCAACGGATGCAAACATGAGAAATTTTTGCATGCAATTGTTGTGCCACGTCACTCGTGATTCGTAAATAATAACATGCCACGTTGTATTTTATTGCAGAATCCGGCGTGTTTATTGGAGAATGCATAAACGACGCAGTATGCTGGGAGTACTGTAATTCTCTCTATGATCCCCGTATACTATAAAACACGTGTCGCTATACCATACGATGACTCCCAAAAAGGTCCCTCCACAGCAGCATAACCTTCCAGCTCAGCACCTCCTTCGTCTCGCTTCTGCTCTAGCGCCTTCCACCACCCTCCTGCACTCCGTAATCACCACTACCTTCTTCCATAGAACCTCAATTTTTCTTTTCTCTGCAACTTCCAACCATAATCCTCACTAACATCCCGTCATGTGCACACACTACCACTCTTCTTCTTCTTTCTTGCTACTAAAAGGCGCCTCTAAGCTTCGCTTTCTTTCGTCTCTGTCTAGACCGTCCTCTGTTTCGAAGACTCCGCCATCATCTGTTTCTTTTCCCAACCAAAATCTTCAGAGCTCGAGCTTCTACTCGGCTCTTCCCTGCATTAGACGCTCGACTGCCCCTTGGAGCCACGGCACCGATTGGCGTTCCCCTCCCAGTCTTCGAGTCCAGGCCAGAGTTGCTGCTCCGCGGCCTCCGCCTTCTCAACGTTTCACTACCATGGGTATGGCTATAATGATTCACACTGTGCGTTGTAGAAACTGAAAGTGTTTAGATGATTTGCTTTATTTTGGAATCTTCGGGAATGGTGGGATATATTGTGGTCTTCCATCGTGTCTGTGTTATTTACTTTTTGATGTTGCGTACAGCATTGTTTCTTATCGGTTCTACGCATGGTTTGATCATACCACATACTTGGTGCGTCTGGTTCTAGCCGCCAAAGCATGGATCATTTTATTTTGCTCTATGGTTTTACTGTCAGTGTTGGAGCCAGGAGTCAGTTCGTGTTTGTAGATGTTCGACGTTCTTCAATTGAATAAAATCAGCGCGAATTTAAGTTGAAGTCAACAAATAGTAATCAATCGTACCGTTTAATAGTACTATGAATTGTAAATAATCTTGAACTTTTATATTTTGTATGTGTATTTTTATATATGAAAAATTGATTAAAACACATTTTTAATTTTATAAAATTTTGATGAAAGGGCGCGCTGACAAACGAAATATTTACTCATGGTATGTGTCATAGATTGATTAATTGGTAGATTATTTTGTAGCTGATTAACAGACGGAGGGTAGCATTCTGATCAGACACTGAAACATTGTCATCCATACACTGTTGTTAGCTGTAACTGAGCTAGTTTGTTTCTTATGCACTGAGGTTGAACTCTTACGGTTTCATGTAACACCTCCCAACCGAAAAATAAAAAAATTTGTTTCTTATGCACTGAGGTTGAACCCCTACGATTTCATGTAACACCTCCCAACCAAAAAATAAAAAAACTAAACCAAAGACTTGATGTAGAATGTAAATTTTGAATATTTTATTTCTTATCATTGTAGAATGCTAAAGATGTTGATGCACTTTTCTTGAATTCAGCCTCTGAGCATGCCTTCAAGGGAATATTGACCAGTCTTCCCAGGCCGGAGGGTGGAGAGTTTGGAAAGTTTTATAGCTTGCCTGCTCTTAATGATCCAAGGATTGGTATGTAAAACTCGTCTCTACTTAGACTTATCCTAAGCGTTGTTGAAGGTTTCATGAATATGTCATTATTTATAAATGCGAATGGTGCTTTTTTTCCTCTGATGCTTGATGTGTTCAAATAAAATCTTTTTGTGTTCTGGGCATTGCAGATAGGTTGCCATATTCAATTAGAATACTTTTAGAATCTGCGATACGAAATTGTGATAACTTTGAAGTTACCAAGGATGATGTTGAAAAGATTAGCGACTGGGAGAATACATCACTTGAGCAAGTTGAAATTCCTTTCAAGCCTGCCCGTGTCTTGTTGCAGGTTCAGATTGCTACTTTTATCATTGAGTTGGTTTGGAGCTATATTCTGCTCAACTGACTCCTATGTCTTTATCTTCATCAGGACTTAACTGGAGTCCCAGCTGTGGTTGATCTCGCTTCAATGAGAGATGCTATGAAGAATCTGGGCAATGATCCCAACAAGATTAATCCTCTGGTATGTAGCAAACCATGGAAAACTTGTTCTTGCATCATGCACAGGTGGCATGTTTTTATTTATATATATTTGTTTGCGGGGTCATCTGCAAAGAAATCAAAATCTGCTACTCTTCCCAAGTTTGAATGGTATGACACCAATGGCCAAATGGCGTGGAAGAAGCATTTCTCCTTCTGTACTTGATTGTCTCTTATTAGTAGGCACTTCATATATATTTTGCACCTATAGTGTTATTATTTCATCTCTTATGGCTCGTTGATGTCATTATTCATAGGAATCACATAATCATTGTTCTAAACTAATTTACTTGCACCTAGGTCCCAGTGGACCTTGTCATTGATCATTCAGTTCAGGTGGATGTGGCGAGATCAGAGAATGCACTGCAGGAAAATATGAAATTCGAATTTGAGAGAAACAAAGAGAGGTTCGCCTTTCTTAGATGGGGATCATCTGCGTTCCGTAACATGCTTGTTGTTCCTCCTGGATCAGGAATTGTTCACCAGGTATATGTGTATATTTGGATTTTGGGATGTGAAGGAGATAGTATAACTGTAATCTATATCCTTGCACGGTATCAGTTTCCAGTAATCAAGCCTATAGTTAGTTTTCTTGATAATTATACATGCTTTAAAAACTTTTCATTCGTCAATTGTTCTCAGAGAATTCTTAAAGCTGTTATAGTTTGTGAGGTTCTTGAGAATCTTTCTAGAGTAGGCCTGCTTTGGATTCGTCTGATATACAACTAACGACATTATGGTGAAGATGTTTGAATTTAGACTTGATTTAGACCAAAATTAAAGATTTTGACTTTGAGACTGGTGAATTTGTAGGTCAATCTTGAATACCTAGGGAGAGTTGTTTTTAACACCAACGGCCTACTCTACCCTGATAGTGTTGTTGGCACAGACTCCCACACAACAATGATTGATGGGTTGGGAGTTGCTGGATGGGGAGTAGGTGGAATTGAAGCAGAGGCGGCAATGCTTGGCCAGGTATGTGGTCTTAACTGCTGATTTTAGAATGTATCCGTCTGGTTATAAAATTTTAAAAACACATGCCACAAAATGAGAAATTTCCTTCGCAAGCAGGTGTAATTAACATCTGGCCATTCTTCCTAGGAGTACTGACTATAAAATTTCATAGTTGAGAGAAGTTATTATGTATTTATATGGCATCTATGGTAGATATGTTGGCTGCTGAAGCATCGTATATTCTTTGCCGATTTGGATCTCTTAGGTGCTAATTATGCTAATTCAGAGTGAATCATGTTCTTTATTCTGCTTGCTTAATTTAATGAGGCTATAGGTTTTTTCCACCATTATAGTCTTGAGTTGTTTAAAATATTCTTGTCATTGGAAAATTGTATTACTGAAATCCAACTTGGCAAAAATTCTTGATTTACCTTTAGGTAATGTTGTCTCTTGAAATCTAGGTTAGTTCAACTACTTCTCACTCTTGCTACTAGATTATAAACACGTTGCAGATGTATATGCTTAATTTTGGGTAAGAATTCATACTTAAATGGGTTATCTATTGATATTGTGTCATTTTAATGTTCCAGCCAATGAGCATGGTTCTTCCTGGTGTTGTGGGGTTTCAATTGTCGGGTAAGTTACGTGATGGTGTTACAGCTACTGACCTGGTGTTAACTGTGACCCAAATGCTAAGAAAGCATGGAGTTGTTGGCAAGTTTGTTGAATTTTATGGTAAGTTTATTCTCGTGAGGCTGCAGTTACTGGGACTGTAATGAAATTCTAAAACTTTGAAGGTTTCTAATTTAATTTAGACGTGTAGGTGAGGGCATGCGTGAACTATCAGCTGCTGATAGGGCTACAATTGCCAACATGTCTCCAGAGTATGGAGCAACAATGGGGTTCTTTCCTGTTGATCATGTCACATTGGAGTATCTGAAACTAACCGGAAGAAGTGAAGAAACAGTAATACTATTAAACTTCCAGTCTTTGTAAAAAGTGTCAGGTTTTGATGCCGAAAGTCTACGGTATGCTATTAACAATCATTTCATTTCTGTACCAGGTGTCTATGATTGAAACATATTTGCGTGCAAACAAAATGTTTGTTGACTACAATGAGGTACGTTCCCTTTTCCAGATCTTCTCATACTGAAACTGTATTTTGATATGAGAATTCAGATTCAAGTTCGAGAAAAACTTCTGTTATCCAGCCACAACAAGAACGAGTATATACTTCCTATTTGCATTTGGACTTGGGAGATGTTGAGCCTTGCGTTTCAGGACCGAAGAGGTATCTGTGATATTTCTAGTACTCTGTGTCTTCCCTTATTCTGATGCATCCCTTAATTTATTAATGAAGATTTTACTTGCTCACTCTTAAAAGGCCTCATGATCGAGTTCCTTTGAAAGACATGAAAGCTGATTGGCATGCATGCCTTGACAATAAACTTGGATTTAAGGTAAAACTGGCTTGTCAAGAACCTCACTATATCAATGACTAGAGTGGATTACACTAATTGTTTTCGTTTCTTTGTATAAATGACATTTTGTCCGGCAAGATCCATTGAATATATAAAAAAGTGGCAATCATTCGAGTTACTGATACAACTTATTGATGGATCTCCAGTCATTTATATTTTGTTAACAAATGAAAAGTGTGGTTTATATGCTTGAGTGTGTAAGCATGTGCTGTAGTTTGTCATATAACGACGGAAATTTCTTGCAGGGATTTGGAGTGCCCAAAGAAGAACAGGATAAGGTGGCGAAGTTTACTTTTCATGGACAGCCTGCTGAAATAAAGCATGGTAGTGTCGTCATTGCGGCTATTACAAGTTGTACAAACACATCAAACCCTAGCGTAATGCTTGGGGCTGGTCTTGTTGCAAAGAAAGCTTGTGAACTAGGTTTGGAGGTAATTTTTGGAAGAAGTGTGACTTTCATTATATTTTGAAGAATTTATATAGAGATTCAAGCATTAAAAAAATTAACAGGAACAATTAATTCTAAACAGGTTAAGCCATGGATCAAAACAAGTCTTGCTCCAGGATCTGGAGCTGTCACAGAATATTTGCTCAAAAGGTATGCCTACCAGTCTCTGTGTCAATCATGAGAATGTTCTATGAGCATTGTCATCTGTACTGATATTTTTTATGAACTTTTTGTGTCAGTGGCCTTCAAAAGTATTTAAACCAGCAGGGGTTTCATATTGTGGGCTACGGATGCACGACTTGTATAGGGAACTCTGGAGAACTAGATGCACCGGTTGCTTCTGCAATTGCTGAAAATGGTATCATTGTGATATCTCTGTTGCTCGTGGTATAGAAACTAATTTAACATGGTACAGGAGGTTGACTCTGATAGAACGCTGCTCTAAACATGAATGCAATAGTATAACATAGATGCTAGAGGATACCGAGTGAGGGAAATACTGAGGTTTTGCTATTAAATGCTTTTGAACCGAATCAGTCTTACAAAAGGGAACTCCACTGATTCTGGCCGATGCCCTATTCCCTAATGCAAAATGGACAATGAACTGAATACAACAAAGCAAAACAAGGTCCGTCACTGGTGTTTGAGAGACCAGCACTCTTCTCACTTCTATATGACTCTCAAGACATAGTATGAGTGCTCCCAAAAACCAAATACAAAGTATTAGTAGCAACAAAAAGTGAAAGGTTTCCTTGGGTAGTTACAGGCCTTTTGTCCATTCAAGTGGATTTTATCTAGTTATTCTATCTGCATCTTACTCTTTTTCTATGAAAATTTTAGTGTTGTTTAAGTAGCTCTTAATTCATGTGCCTTTTTTCCCCCCCAAAAATATCTTTAGCAATCTAATTATGCTCATTCCCATCTGTGCAGACATAATTGCTGCAGCTGTTCTTTCTGGAAACCGAAATTTTGAAGGCCGCATACATCCATTAACAAGAGCTAATTATCTTGCATCTCCTCCATTAGTGGTTGCCTATGCCCTCGCTGGCACGGTAGGCAAAATGAATATTTATCCTATGCCTGGTTGCTTCTGTGCTTCCATGACAAAAATGCTAACACGTGAATTTTATATTGATGTTTTAGCATTTGATTTACATTCGATCAGCAAGCAAAACTGCAGCAGATATGAGGGTTTTATATCAAATGAACTGAGATGCAAAAGTCTTGCTTCCTGGATTATTTATGTTCTAGTAAATATTATTCTGGAGGCCGCACATAACCTCAAATTCATACTTGGCACTTGTTCAATTACCGCTTTGAACGTATCGAGACTTGCAGTATCCTTGTTTGGTGGGGCTTTTGGAGGGGAGGGGAGAGTGGAGATTTTTTGAGAAAACTCCCCTCCTCTCCATTGAATCAAATAGGGGGCCGAAGTGTTGAATAAGTGAGAATCAATAATAAGATGATAATCATGATGCATTTATTAAAATTGTTTTTGCTTCGATGGTCTTATTCTTTTTGTTTTTTTTTTTGGGGTAACAGAAAAGAAATTCGATGGTCTTATTCTAACTGCAACAATATATTGGTAAATAAATATATTGTGACTTGTGGTAAATCTGATAATATGAATCTTAGTCCTTTTTTAACCCCTTTTAAGGTTGAAAAAAAATCATGATGAAGAAGAATTTTTGTCCTTTTTTTTTTTATTGGCACTGTTTCTTCATTTTTTGAACACATTCAAATCAACTTCATCATTAGTAGAGCAGTAAATGAGTTGAGTTCAGTCTTAACATAACATTGCCTTTTATCTGTTAGGTTGACATTGATTTTGATAAAGAGCCCATTGGAACTGGGAGGGATGGTAGAAGCATATATTTTAAGGATATTTGGCCCAGTAACGAAGAGATTGCAGAGGTAGTGGAGAAACAGAGAATTGGAGTCTGGTTTGTGAGCAAAAATCTACTTAATCGGACAAATCTTAACCATTCTTTCTTCTTTCATTTATATAGGTTGTTCAATCTAATGTGTTACCTGATATGTTCAAAAGCACATATGAAGCTATCACAAAGGGCAATCCCTTGTGGAACCAGCTAACAGTGCCTACTTCTACTCTATTTTCTTGGGATCCAACCTCCACCTACATTCATGAGCCTCCTTATTTCAAGAACATGACAATGGACCCACCAGGTCCTCATGGGGTAGAAGATGCTTATTGTTTATTGAATTTTGGAGATAGCATAACAACAGATCATATTTCTCCGGCTGGGAGCATCCACAAGGACAGCCCTGCTGCAAGGTATCTCCTTGAGCGTGGGGTGGATTACAGGGACTTCAATTCCTATGGAAGCCGTAGAGGTAATGATGAAGTGATGGCAAGGGGCACCTTTGCCAATATTCGCCTTGTGAACAAGCTTCTAAATGGGGAAGTTGGACCAAAGACAATACACATTCCTACAGGAGAAAAGCTCTATGTTTATGATGCGGCAGTGGTTAGTCCCTTGACGTTTTCCTTTTTGGCTGTGAATTGTATATACATGGTCTTTCCCTGTATTTTGAGCATAAATTTCGCTGTTGTATTAGTTTTGACAGTGGTTTGATAGATGTTGCTTGATAAAAGCTGTCAACCAAAAACATCTAAGCCATCAGTCATATATTGCAGAGTTACAAAGCTGCTGGTCATGACACCATTGTTTTAGCCGGAGCTGAGTATGGAAGCGGAAGCTCCCGGGATTGGGCTGCCAAGGGTCCGATGCTTCTTGTAAGTTCGTGTACAATCCTCCGTTGGATCAAAACTTAGAAAATGAACTTTTGGTTTTGTTTATTAATTTTTTGAGTAAAAATAAAATGTAGAAAAATTTTAATGGTAGGGTTGTAAAATGCAGAGAACCTCATAGCAAATAGCAATCACTTTTAAAAAAGGAACCTAACTATGCTGAGTATGGCATCTTCCATTTCATCCATCTGTGTTTGCTTCTGTCTGAAGTGCTTATCAGTTTTGAACTTTCATCCAATATCAGGGAGTAAAAGCAATAATTGCCAAGAGCTTTGAGAGAATCCATCGAAGCAATCTTGTTGGAATGGGAATAATCCCTCTCTGTTTCAAGTCTGGTCAGGATGCAGAAACCTTAGGACTCACAGGTTATGAACGTTACAATATTGATCTCCCAAGTAATATTGGTGACATTAGGCCTGGCCAAGATGTCAATGTTACAACAAACACGGGCAAATCTTTTATGTGCACATTACGATTTGATACAGAGGTAATTGTCTCCCCTTCCTTGCTTTCTTTGTCTCATCACCTATTTGATTATCTGCCAGGGATAGATAAGGTGAAATTTTCTTGATTCTGAGAAATTATGAAAATTTCTATCTGCAGGTTGAGTTGGCATATTTTGATCATGGTGGTATTCTTCCTTATGTCATCCGCAACTTGACTAAACGATAAGTCTCTTGAAGAGATTCTCAAGTACAATGGATCGACAAAAACGATTTATATATCAAGTTGATTATGAATAGATACGTGAACATTTCATGCGTATTCTTAAGTGCATTTTCATCGCCTACTCTTGATTCACATGGTCGATCAATATCTTTTAGACTCTGTCTAATTGAGCTCATCTCAAGCATTGCTTGGTCAATTGTTCCTTTTGATCTTTTGGTGGTGTTCCTGATTTCTGATCTACAGGTTGAATCATGAAAGTTTTAATCCATTACCTAATATTGTCTCTTTCCTCATCACATAAATTGTATGGACGCTGACAGATGATTAACAGAAAAAAACATGATGTTTTATTAGTGCTTCCAGTGTAATTCATCCAACCTTGTTTACGTTTTCGAAATCATCTGGATTGTGCCTGGAAATTTGTTGACAAAGAAGATCCTAGCACACTGAAATGGCGCTCTAAGGTTTTTTATATATAAGTTGAGCGCAAATAAACTGCAATAAAGTGAAAGATTCAGAAGTAAGAGGTACACTTTTCAGATGGTAAGGTTTATTATGTAGTCGTTCTGGTTCTTGCACCTCTTCAAATTACACGCAAATTTATTTATTTATTTATTTATTTATTTATTAACCTTGCACTGGTTCTCGTGTAATCTTACATGTCAAATAGTTATTTACTCTAATCAATTTCTTCAATGAAAATATGACAGAATATAATTTTTATAGATAAATGTTTTCCTAATCAAAGTGTTTTTTTTTAAAAGAATTTCTATCTTTGTTAAGTTTAAATTAAAAAAGATGATAAAATACGACAATGATTAGACTAAAGTTTTACGGATTTTTTTCTGGCAAAAGAAATATTTTATTTTTGAGATGTGAACTGGATATTGTAAAAGAGAGAGAATGACATATTAAAGTAAACTAAAAATAAAAAGGAAAATCTCATAAAAAGAACTTAAAGATGACTAATTTTGTTATTTACAAGTTAAGTTTAGTTAAAATCTGTTAAAATGTAAGATCAATCTTAATTTGAGATTTAATAATTTTCAGATTATTTTCACTAAATCTAAAATTTCAATGTAAAAATAAACACGCAGTAAGTTAATCAGACGAAAATGTTAACCATTCCAGGGAGGCCAGAGCAGAGCAAATTCTTTTGAATCTACCTCTTCCTAACTGACAGATTCTTTCTAGTTATTTTCCGGGCCTCACTAAAATAAATCAGTCTCTAAATTTTGACTTATTACACCTTTCTACAATTTGACTTGATTAAAATTTAATCTCTAAACTTTAACTTGATGAAGTTAATCTTAATTTCAATTGTTTAAAGATTAAGGACTCAATTTTAATCAAGTCAAAATGTATAAGCACGGGTGAGTGAAAACTTCGGATCAAATGATTAATTCCCCCCCCCCCCCAAAAAAAAAGTATTTTTGAAAAGAAAGAAAAAGATAAAATTTCAAGGTGAAGATCGGAGGGATCCATTTGAATTTTGAGGCAAATCGACGGTATTTCTGAAATTGAAAGTTCCTAGCTTCTAAATCCCGCGAAAGTCCGGCAAGGTCTTGTAAGAGAAACGACGCCTTCTTCTTCTTCTTCCCTGACCCTGATCCGATGGTGAAGGGGCTGCACGGCCAAAACCTCCCCGCCGATGTCACTCAGGTCATTGATCAGTTGGAACGCCACTGCTTGGCTCCCGATGGATCTCTCATCTCCAAGCCATTATACAACGATCTCCAAGTGGTAATTTTCACTCTGCTTCCGACTTCCTCAATTGTTGTTTCTTTGGTGTTTGTGAAAATTCCCATGTAAAATCGGGACATGGATGCTTCATTTTGGTTTAAAATCTTGCAGTGCTTCTGCTGAATTAACATGTAGCGTTGAATGTTGTTCGATATTCATTTTCTGAGTTGTGTTGCAGGCGAGAGAGGAAATGTGCAGGGAAAGACTGAGGTACCTGGAAGCCATGGTAAATGATTATTCATAGAATAACATTGAAGTCCTGAATTGTATCTTTATCTTTGAAATTTTATTATATTTGGATTTTAAACAAATGATATGGGACAGATATTTTGTTTTTGCTTATAGTCTTAGTTGGTAGCTAAGGATGGTGTAAAAATTAATTCACTGATACGTATTTATATGGGTTGGCTGCAGGCAATTTACTCTGAGGCCATTGCAATGGTTGAGGAGTATCAGCAAGCCATTTCTGTGGCTAATCTTGGAGGAATTAGAGATACAGCCAGTCTATATCCACAACTTGGATTGAAGAACTCCCCTCAGGTGTTGCATACTTGTACTATAAACTTGACATAAATGACCATAGTTTTCTTTTACAGGGAGGCATAGTAATGCTAGTATGCTTATTCATTTTTTGGGTTCTGGTCAACTATATGTAAATGCCTATGGATTTTCAGGTCTATGAGACTTTAGAGCATCGAATGGTTGTGGCTGAAGCAGCTCAAAGACTGAGGCTTCCTCTTCTCTCCAAAGATGGTGAAATTCATAAAGAAGATATTGAAAAGTTGAGTGCAGCATCTCGAAGCTCGCTGGACAGTACTAGTACCAGCAGCTCAAGCATTAATCCTAATCTTACCACTCCAAATAGCTCTGTTGGCAGTGCCGCTACTGCTCTAGCTGCTACAGATCCAGGAGAACTTGGAGTTGGTGGTGTCCCCAACCGTTTTCTTGGGATCACGCCTGCTTATTTGTGGCAAACTCAGCTTCAACAAACACCATTATCTGTGGTATACTATGTAACTCAGAATATGTATTAGGTTTCAAGCACACTCTTTCTTAGGTTTACTTTGAACTGACTAACTTGGTTTTGTCTTCAAATACTGAAGCGTTGAGCATTTGTGTGTTTAGGACATGACAGAGTATCGCATGTCTCTCTCTCGGGAGATAGAGACTCGATTGAAGGTGAAATGCGATAAGTTAGCAGATGCCTTTGAACTGGATGACATTGGTAAGTGTTTTATATGCTTCAGTTCTCCTATTTAAGTTTCATTGCCCCCAATATATTTCATTAACTGGATACTACTGAAAAATGTGATCATACATGTACTTTGTTTATATCATTTACTTTTTTAGTGATCCTCATACTGATTCCTGATTTCATGATCCAGATTCTTCACCATCAGGAAGTCCAAGTACAAGGCTTCCAGAAAGGTTTGAGCAAACTGCTGGAGCCTCTTCCTTATATTGTTTAGAATTTTCCCCTTTGCTTGCAACTGAGAAACCTTGTCTGCTCTTTTCATCAGTCAAATGAATGGTATTTTTGTTCAATTATGCAACATAGGGCCTCTACTTGAGAAGTGCATGATTGAAAGCGTTACACTGCATACGCTTCATCCTTAGGTGCAGAAAAATTGACTAGATGGTATAATTTATGCCCCGAAGTATCATTTTTATGATTTGGGGAAAGTTGTCTGATGATGCTAATTCTATTTTCATGTAGATATGAGAAGTGTTCAATGATGGAAAATTGACCGTAGTAACTGACCTAGCTAATGATAAATAGGCAGATTTTCCTTTAATATTGATAAACTGAGTAATTTGGATCCAGTTCTGCTGGTTTCTTTAGCTGCGTTAGATGGAGGATTTATCTATATATAACCTGTGTTTTCTTTGACTTCTAGGCGATATCCTAGTTCATATTTTTAATTACTTATGCTAACTATGTATACCGAGCTAATGAGCGTCTTCTTTTTAATATGAAGTAAACACTGCAGCATTAATTCTTCCCATGTTCCAGTAGCTGTAAGTTCTGTGCTGGACCTCTCCATAGACTACAATTTCTCACTCTTCATATCTACTCTTTTACCAGGGTGAAGTTGTTGATTGAGGAGATTGAAAGAGAAGAAACAGCACTAAGGGACGACCTTTATTCTGCAGATAGAAAATTTGCTGAATATTATAATGTACATGCTTGGTCATTTTGTAGAATAACCCTTCTGAAATCACATCTTGAATCTCTGTTTGTGTGTTGGGGCATGCATTCCATTTGCATTTCTTTTCAGTGTTATGTGGATGCTGAAACCGTTATTCTCAATTAGGTCTTGGAGCAGATACTTGGAGTGCTTATTAAACTAGTTAAAGATTTGAAGTTGCAGCATCAGCATAAATACGTGAGTATCATCAATATATTAATGTATAATATAAAATTTATAAGAAACTATACTATTTATAAACCATGAGTAAATAATGTTCACCTTGGACTCCATGTGAAGCATATGGTGCCCAGTCTTGTTTAATATTATCTATTTTGATAACCAAGGTTGTATTGACTGAGTTCAATGTATATGTAGGATGAGCTGCAGAAGACTTGGCTTTGTAAGAGGTGTGAGACCATGAGTGCAAAATTGAGGTTTGTTTGCCGTATGCTACTTTCATCATTTCTTTGTTCTTTATTTTTCATATGATTGTTGTACTTTTTAGACCACAAAAAAGGGGCGTGTGGTAGAACCCAAATGGCTAGATAATTAAGTGAATAAAAAAAACTGAAATATAATCTAGTAGAGGGTTGAGGCAAGAATCTCACTCTCAACTCACTAATAGCCGGGATAAAATCTACTAAAATTTACTTAAGCAAGGATCTCACTTAACTAGATTTAGTAACCAGAAGGAGAATCTCCAAATTACTGAACAAATATTTATTTCTCTCATATGTTAGCTTATAGGATGGCTAACATATTTATAATGCAGAAATTACAATTGAATAAATATAAGAATTAAGTAAATATCCCTAATATCTTGGAACTAACAGAAAGAGACATTGATGGACCTCTAACAACCTAAAGTCCCCTTATTCAATTAATAAATCATTAATAAAATCAATAAAACCTAAAAGACTCATTCAACTCTCCTAAAAAGATGCAAACAGACTCAACCACTACTCCATTCTCCCTATTTCTCCTCTGGTGCGTTAATGTGCTGACTTGGAGTCCTATCAGCGTGACTTACCGAAGGTGGATAGAAAACATTGCTTCTCTTAAAGGGTTAAAGATGGAAGAAAGTAAACATGGAAATCTTTAGTACTCAGCATCTCGGAAAAGTGAGACCGACCCTTTTCGTTGCAGGAACAGAATGATTCTATGCGCAAAATAATATTGTTTCCAAATTTAAATCATTTGGTTGCAGTTTTGTTGCGTTGCATTCATCTCTTAACTATGGGTTTCGGTAAATTATTTACTTAACAGTTGGAGGATATTGTTATGTAATCAACCTGCAAGGTAATATGTTGAATTGTATAGTAGTAGCAGGACATCTCAATCTCATTGCTTGGCAAATTAGTTCCAAGAAGATATTGTGCTAAATGGGACATCAAACATTAATTAATTAAATATTATTAATCTGCTTGAGCCTACATTGAACATTTTGAAAAAATGCAGTGTTAAAGAAACTTTAGTGTCAGGATATGGATTTCATATTTTATTCCCAACAAAACATTTGGGGGATTTATGCTGTTTGATAATTGAAATCAAAGTCAAAATCACTATTAAACTAAGGGCTATGTATTACTACCGTTGTGCTAAATGGCAAGATTTTGGTGAGGATAATCTGGAAAGAGAGAAGTGTGAATTATGTTGGGGGTAGTAACTGAAAGGGAACAAATATGTTGCTTCTAGACGCAATCTGGTATTTCATTCTGAATGAAGTGTTCTAATAGCTGCAAACTTTTTATTTTTCGAGACTATTTTTATCAGCAATTTTAATTCTTGCCAAGTTCTGTTCTCTGACATATGAGCTATTTGCCATTTCAATTCAGGGTTCTTGAACATGTTCTTCTGCTTGAAACTTACACTCAGGATTCTATTCCAGCCCTTCATAAGATAAGGTATCAAAGATAGTTATACCTCTTTTAACTTCATAGCCTGTACTTGGTTTGATATTAATCATCCTTTTTCTTACTGGTTCTAGGAAGTATCTTGTGGAGGCTACAGAAGAAGCTTCTATAGCATATAATAAAGCGGTATAATTCCTGTTTCCTCTAGTGTTCTTTTGGCACGAAGGCGCAAATTCGTTAGTGCAGAATATTATGTCACTGTTATACTTTGAATCATTGGATTATTGGATTCCATGACATAATCTGCTTATCCAATCCCCAAGACGTGATCTACCTTTTGTGCTAGCCTCAAATATTCTTACGCAATATGGTTTTAGTTTCATCTGATGTGGCGGAGCTTATGTTTATCAGTGTTATGATAATATGATTAACGTTACATCCATCTAGTTTGTCTTTATAGATTATATATGAATCTGTTTTACCAGGTTACTCGTCTCCGTGAATACCAAGGTGTCGATCCTCACTTCGACAACATTGCAAGGCAATACCATGTTATTGTGAAGGTGAATATTTATTTGGCTTATCAGTTACTCCCTCTGGCCGCACATCAATTTTTTTCCACATGTGCCCCCAATTTAATGTTTGAATTTCTATCTTATATTTAATGGTTATTAATTATTACTCCCAATATGATGAAGGGCATAATTGGGGTAATGTAATTAATGCACCAAACATGAGCCGTTTGTTTCTCACTCTCTTGTCCTATTTATAAGATTCAAAAATTTAAATTGGTTTGGTCTTTTATAAGATCCTACTAAGAATTGTTTGAACATTAAATGTGTTTTTATCAATTTTGATCCTAATTAATTTTCTATTCTCGCTCCTCATTTTTTCTCATGCTTCATTCTCTTTCATCTTTTATCGCATTGCCAATGTTTTCTCTCTTTTTTACTCCCTCGTTAAATAAGAACATATTTGGGGGAAAAAACAGGCTTAATTTTTTTACATATTTATTGCTTTTAAGTAATTTTAATTGTTCTCTCAAACCTCATAATTTAGTTAATAGAATCTTATAAAAAAGATAAGAGAGAATATAATTTAGAGCAAAACACGTCTCCCAAAATTCTCTTATATTCAAGACTGGAGGGAGCATAACATTAGTAGATGTTCTTTGTCTCACCAAACCCATAACACACTCTCACACTTCATATGTGTCTGTCATTACTCATTACCATGGTCAATTGGGTAATTGACTTTCACAGAGGATGGTGCTATGGGGATTTCTTACGCTTATGATTCTTTACAGAAATTGGAGAATATGAAATGGACAATTCAGCAAGTGGAAATGGACCTGAAACGTTTGCCAGATAACCCAGGCACCTAGAATACAATATATGGTACTGTTTAATTTTGTATTAGAAATATTTCTGTCTACTTGGTAACAGCCAACAAGGTTTGTAAATGAACATGAGGCTTTTCTTCTTTCTTTTTTGCTTCTTTCTTTTCTTATTTTATCCAATCCTGGTTTGGCTAGATAAATATTGATTTAAATGCCTAGCTTTGAGGCATTTAATGAGATTTCAATTTTCATAGGTTTTATTTTTAATTTTTTAAAAAAGTGCCAATGTCTTCACGAATGGTTGGTCACTGCCAATGTTATAGGAAAACGGTATCATCAATGCATATTCATAAATATTTTGATAAAATAAAATGGTTTGTTGGCCAAAGCCATAACGAGCAAGGCTTTCATCTCTTTTGTAGTAAGAAAAAACAATAATACAGAAACAACACTCAACTTATAGGGTGAGATATAAATTGATTTAGTTTTCATTTTCTAAAGAAGTGAATGGTGATCATGAGAACTTCAGTGGCATCTACTTTACCTGTGTCTCAAAACTCACGCAGATTTAAGATTGTTGTGTTTTTTTCCTGGTAAAACTGGAAAAGAAAATTTTTTCCCCCCCCCCTTTTCAGGCAAAAGGGAGGGAGCCAAATGGATCACTGAGTTCTAGCGGGGATCACACCCTGGCTCCCAACTTCCCACAAAAAGGTGAAAATAAAAAATCAAAACGTTGAGTCAACCTGTTCCATTTGGTCCTTGTTATCCAATAATTTTTCCCCCTGCACTGTGTCCTGTAAATTTCTATCTGTCTCTCCCAACACGTTTTCAAGTTAAAATATACATAAAAATCCCTTTCTTATTTTTAATATTTTACTGAAACGAAGCAGATCAGAAGGGCCCCAACCAAGCTGATTATGTAGAGGCTCAGGCTTCTTCAATAACAGCTTTTGTGTTAAACAAACATTAAAAAAAAAGTGAACAACAACAACAACAAGAATAATAAGAGGAAGAACCTCGGTTATTGGATAATCTCAGAATTTTTTGGCCAAATAAAAAGAAAAATCCCCAGAAATTGGCGTTTCTGGATGCTTCTGTCATTCTCTCCACCACACAAACCTAACGATGTGGGGCCCCCAACCGTCAACTCGCTTTATGCCCGTTCCCTATTCTCACGCCTTTGTTGCTTCCCGGGGGCTGCGTCCATACTACGCTTCTCCACCTTTTTGACCCTGAGAAGGAAAAAAAAAGGTTATTTAAATAAAACAAAATCCAAAACTGCAATCAAGTCCCACTCAAAAAAATTAAATACAAAAAGGTCTTTTAAAATTATAAAATTATTCTGAAATCTCAATAAAATTTTTATAATAAATTTTATCTATTTAATTACTGAATTTTTTTTAGTTTGTATTAACAACTGAAAGAGTAGTGGTTGACAACTTATGATATAATAATTGCCAACTATCATGGTTGATTTGACAATTCATACGTTACATTTATGATATGCTAAGAAATATGTTGTCAAACCAGTTGTGATAGTTGTCAATTCTTACACCTTAAGTTGTTAATCATTACTTTTTCAATTATTAATACAAACTTAAAAAAAAAAGAAGAGTAATTTGGTAATTAAACAAATAAAATTTATTGTAAAAAAGTTTTTTAGGACTTCAAAATAATTTTATCATTTTAAGAGACTTTTTTATATTTAACTCTGTTAGATGGGATCTAATTGCAATTCTCCCTATAATCAAATAAGTTGATTAAAAAAAATGAAATTGTTTCAACATTAAATTGTTTATATTCATTCGTGAAAATTCGAAGGAATCAGGACCATCCACGTGTGCGATCTCACGTTTCGTGTTTGGTACCTTCCAGCTTAGGTCCTTCGCAACTGGGGGGCTCCTTCCGCGACTTCACCCCCGGCCCCGCTCGCGCCTATATATAATCCCCCCGCGTTCGTTGTGTTTACTCATACGCTTTCTCTTGTCTGTTCTCGAAGCTTGCCAGCTCTCGAAACTTCTCTGCTTTTCAGGTTCGTCTTTCTGCTTGTTCCTCCTCACCATGTTCTCTGTTTCTAGTCTTTCGATCTTGTGGTTCTGTCGTCGGATTCTGACTTCGTATCCTATTCTTGGTTTCGATCTATCTGTGAGTTGTCTATGTTGCGTTGTTGGAGAATATGGGGTGATCGTTCTTTTTTCTTCCTGCCGTAGGAGTTTAGTAGAGTCCTTTTTTTTCTTTTTACACCGTGGACATTTTCCTGAGTTATTTGAAATTTCCTTTTTAAGTTCGGTTTTCTTTTTGGTGTTTGAAAGATTTGTGTGTTGAGTTGCTCATGTAAAGCTGTGTGATTATTCTTCAGGCCTTCCTTTGACGGAGTTCCTTTTCAATAATATGAGTTGGAATTACGATCCTCGAACCTTTAGTGTCTATGTTTTTAGGACGAGTTTCGTCGGTTTGTTCTTTATAAATCGGATTTAACGCGCGGCAAATTTTCCTAGGAGGAGTATGGGGGAGTTTTTGTGGATTTCTTACTTGATTATGATATGAATAGCTCACGAAATATTTTCTGTTCCTTGCAGTCGCTTTCTGCGTTCTCTAGGTCCACAAGAGCTCACTAAACAAGGTACATGGTTGATTCGGAAGTTCCGATTCCCACTCCCTTTGATCCATTCGCTGAAGACAAAGAATCGGATGCTCCGGGAGCCAAAGGGTATGTGCATGTCAGGATACAACAGAGGAATGGAAAGAAGAGTCTGACCACCGTTCAAGGACTGAAGAAAGAGTACAGCTACGAGAAGATCCTCAAGGACCTCAAGAAGGAGTTCTGCTGCAACGGCAACGTTGTGCAGGACAAGGAGCTGGGCAAGATCATTCAGCTTCAGGGTGATCAGCGCAAGAACGTCTCTCAATTCCTGGTCCAGGCCGGTCTGGTCAGGAAGGACCAGATTAAGATTCATGGTTTTTAAACGTTGAGGTTCTGCTTACCGGTAGCTTGCGACAATCAGGCGGGTGGGTTCGTTTCGTGTATTTATCTTTTTGTGTGTGAAGTTCGATGAGTGAATTTGAAATAATTATAAGTGATTTTTCTTAAGTTATAGCGGATGTAATATGGATGGATGTAGGAAGCCCACCTTGTGTTCAAGAATAATACATGATGATACTATCATTTGGAGGAGATTCTCGTGTGTTTGTTCGTTTCATTCTGATCTTTTATGGTCGAACTTGAACTTTCGAACGGTGAAATCGGTGGCTTAGATATAATTCGAAGGAAAAGAAGAAAAAAGAACGCGTGACGTGCGATGTTTGTCTTGTTCTCTATTGCGCTCAAGAGTTTCAAGTAAAAAATGGCGGAAAGTAGAAACAACTTGGTTCTATTCGCACCGCCCGTGACTTGAACAGAACCCTCTTACGCGGTTGAGTGTCGTCGACAGGTATATCCCATTAGCAACGTGTATGATGCTTGTGCGCATCTCTGTTCTGCATTCTTTTTGGAAAAAGGGTCTCGACAATATGAAATTTAAAATCTCTCAATCTCCTGGACGAAAAAAAAAAAAAAAATTGGGGGGGGGGGTAATTAAATAGAAGTATTAGTACTTTTTGAAAGATTATGTTTGTATTTATTTTTTTCCCTCTCTATTTTCCTTTCCTATGCAAGAAAGAATCTGGAACTCCATGGAGGCTGGGATCAATGACTCCGCCCCCATAAGCGTGCCTGAAGGAGAAATGACTCGTTTAATACTTCTTTATCATACTGTAGGTGGGTATTCTTTTCGGGCGATCAATTTTTGTAAGATGTTGATTTGTTTGCCAAAACAATCTTCTCTTACAAGATGGTGCGTTACAATTTTGATCTGATTTGGAAGCGAAAAAAACTTCAACATCGTGGTCAATAACAAGAGAGCACCATATAAACCAAGACGCATGGACTTTAAAGCGGTTTTCTTCTCTCAATCCATGTTCTTCACAAGTACTGGTTTTCATTTAATTTCAAGCTTTCACAAACTTCTAACTCATCGCTGAAAGTCGCCTTTTATTAACCTTTCAAAACAGAACAAGAGAAGGAATCACAGAATTCTTTGATCCAAAAGGTCGAGCACTGATTATTCAAAAGGTCCACCATTGACTAATTGCTTCTGCCTCCATCATATCATGATGATGTTCCTTAAATCCATGGAGGCCTCTGAATCCAATAAACAACTTTCTATGGCAACTCATTGGAAAATGTCTTGCGTTTTTTTTGTTTTTCCCCGTAGGTAACATCATGTTATAACCATGGTCTTAAAAACCAACTGCTTAGAACATTTCAAGATCCACGGTTTTTGACATCTTAATTTACTGTTTCGGAGGCCCACCTTTGCTTTCTCTCCTTGCGAAGAACGAAGAACCTCGTTAAAATGCTTCCGCAGTGAACTTAGATACGATTTTATTAAAGATTGGATTAATTTTGTTTCTCTTTGATATTTAGGGTTCGTCTCTATGTTTATATTTGTAGAATATCATATAATTAATGTGTTTACATATCACATATGATATAAATATTTCCTGCACAAAAGCTTCAAACTTTATGTTTCAAGGATTACGTTTCTCTTGAAAATTTTGAAGACCATTATAGAATATTATTCAAGCAAGTAGAGAAAAAAAATTTCTGAATTTGTTTCAAAATTAAAGAAATACGATTAATCAAAATATTATGATTCAAATGAAATAGTCCAACCTCTCATAGACTTGCAACACCCTCCGGATTGAGAAAAGCTACTAATATACATGAGGAAAAATTCGTTATTGCAAAATTTTATTGATGAGAACAAACTTTTATGCCGATAAATTTTTATATGCAGAAAATACTGAATATCAGTACTATGATTTAAGTCATCTTTACCTTAAAGTTTTCAAAGTTCCTTTTCCCAATTTTTTATATAAACACTATAAAAACTTTTGGGTCAAGAGTCATTTTTTATTAAAAAAATTCTCGTGAAAACACTATGCATGCTCGAAAGTTTTTTTGACTCTTGGACCTGAAAGTATTAAAAAAAAGGAAGCAATGTTGTCCTACTCCAATAAGAATAAACTCCTCAAAGAGGGTCTCTCTAGATCTTCATTTTTTGGTTCTTGTCCACCGAATTTACTAGATTTAGTGGCTAGCGAAAGAGTGGGATCTGATTCCCCCATGAGTTGATCTTTTTTGGTTTTGGACTTTTGTCCTCTCTTGTACCAAAAAAAAAAAAAAGAATAAACTTCTATAATCATAAAGTTACATATATAAATAGGGTATGGACCAGTTTTTTTCTCAGAAGCATTTTATTAGCAAGCCAAAGTAAAATTCTCCTCACATTATTATATTGTACATCCTAAAATCACTTCCAAAAAACAGATGAGGGGCACTTTTCAAGCTTCAGCAAACTGGATCCTTATCCTATCCCGGAATAAAAATCACCTTTTTCCTAGGCGAGTTTCTACTTCGAAACAAGTCAACAATTAACAGACAAACAACTGGCTCACAGTTATGCTTAACCTTGTAATCGAAACAAATCTAAAAATCGAAGCTTTACATGCCTAAGAAATAAAATGACACGTTTCAGTAATATTTGGGTCCAAAATTATGATTGAAAGGACTGAATCTCTTCGCAAAAGTAGAGTTTTTTTTTTTTTTACACTCAGGGTCTCAAATACAGCAAGCTCGAGCAACTTATAGTGTGGTTCAGAATAGCTTGCCTTGCGGGGTTCCACTCCTCATCATTGCACAGAATTCTTCATAATTGATCCTACCATCCTGAAAACCCATAAAAGATTCAGCATAAATTATGGAGCTATAACACCAAAATATAGCCATATAACTAATAAAGTGATTGATTACATTATCTGTGTCAACTTCTGATATGATTTCCTTGATTGTGCCTTCATCGCCCATGCCATATTCTTTCATGGCAGTTTCAAGTTCATCTCTTGTTATGAATCTGCAATGAAATTAAACAAAGAATGTCTTAATGCTTCAGAAAAACCAAATACACTCATTTAGCATGATTTTGAATTCAGTGTGTTCCTTTACTAAACAGTACACATTATCAGTTATCTTAGGAATACGAATAGTGAATAGAAGAACTCACCCACTGTGATCTTTATCAAAATACTGGAAGGCTTTGTAGAGATGTTCGTCTCTTTCTAATCTATGTCTATGCATTGTGGCAGTGATAAACTCTATGTAGTCAATGGTGCCGTTTCCATCTTACAGCTTCCATAAGCTGCTTCACTTCAGCCTCTGTGAGCTTTGAGCCAAGTCTCTGCAATCCCTCCTTTAGTTCCTCATAGGTGATCGTACCGCTGTTGTCAGTGTCCATATTTGTAAACATTGCCTTCAACCCTTGGATCTCTTCTTCAGAGAGATTTTCCGCAATGACCTAAAGGAATTTAGCATCATAAACGCAACAGTGAAACACTTGAATATTGTCTCTCTAAGTATCTAACCATGTTAGTGGTTCCTTCCTAATTCGCAGCAAACAGCACAGTAGCTAAACTTTTCACAACCAGTGGATTGACTCACCTTCAGGGCAAGTTTCTTTAGCTTATTCATTGCTCTGAATTGCTTCATTCTGGAAAGGACTGCACTATCTATCGGCTTGTCAGATGCATTTCCATCTTCTCTAATCCATGGATGCTCTATTCAGCCATATAATACATTAATTCAGTTAGTTGAGAAATGAATATGAATTAAAGAAGAAAATATTCAACGATGTTAGTCCACATGACAGTGAAAGTAATTAGAATTCAGTAAGCCTTGTAAAAGAATATTACATGATCAATATCTTCATCTTCAATTATTTTTCTCTTTTCTCTTCTATTATTTGACTTAAATACACTTTAAACAAATCTAGCCAATGGAAAAGAATAGTATACTAGTGAAATTAGAGTTCCCATGTAAGAGGTTAAACCATCTAGGATTTACGCATAACAGATGCTAAGTTGAATGCTCAATGACAGGTGATCATAACCACCTTGTGCCTGTATTTCCATAATTTTTATTTTTTTGGGGTCAGAACTCTGGCTTGTCACGAGTATACCTGTGGATCAGACTCATGAAATGATATCATGAGAACTTTTCCAGGCCCAATCACAGAAGTAGAGAATGATGACATTCTAAAGATTCCTCTGTAAGTGGAAGGTTACAGTTTCTTGAAGTGACATGACAAAGAGAGAACAACAAAAATTACATACCTAGAACCTGAGCAGAAGTGATGCGCTTTTTTGGGTCTTGAGTCAGCATCTTACGAACAAGATCCTTGGCACTGTTTGATATGCTTGGCCATGGTTGACTTTCAAAATCAATATGACCTTCCAAAATGGCATCAAATATTCCCTTTTCCGTCTCTACAGAACACATGTGATAGAAATTAGTCAAGCTATAAAAGTCATGGAGAAAATGGAAAGTAAAGAACAATAGGCTCTAATAGAGCACAATAATCCCATTATGAAAAGGAATGTCGCTGTTTACCAGCCCAAAAAGGAGGTACACCACTGAGTAAGATATACAATATCACTCCTGCACTCCATATGTCAATTTCCTTCCCGTATTTGCGCCGTAGGACTTCAGGAGCAACATAATAGGCACTCCCAACTATATCCTTATAAACCTTTCCTGAGGAGAAGTAATTTATGAAGAGATAAATCATCTTATCAGGGGGGGGGGGAGTAACTGTCAAACATAATAGAAATGCACATTTTCTTTGTAATTTTTCACATGACATCTGAGGCATCTTGTAGGTTATGTGGAGCCCTCAATTCCCAACATATACACATCATTGAGAGTCCAAGAATTTCATAAAACCTAAGATCTTAACTTGTATGACACATGGAGTGAATGAGAATACTCGGTTCTAGTTCTGTTGGCTTCTGATTTGGTTCACAAACATGGCTTTTTATAAGACTAATTATGAATACGATGGAGTATCTAAATACATATTTGCCTATCAAGTATCATGTTGCTTCTTGTTTTATGCATCTACCACTTCAATAATGATATGATTATGAAAGCTAACAATTAGCATTATATATTTACCTAGCAGAAATAAGACAGAGGTAAAAGATCAACTTAAGCAGAAAGCTCAAGATATTCTAATAAATTTGAAGGCTTAATTTATCTAGAGGAATAAATCTAATGACTAAAACCCAAGGAGACATAAT